GTCGCCGCTATGAGTTGGAACCAACTTGATGGCAGTGAGTTTGGTTTTTTTTTTTTTTGGGTCTATGTTTTATGGTCAAAGGCATTTGACTATGTAGATCATAACAAATTATGGATAACACTGCAAAGAATCGCAATTCCAGAACACTCAATTGTGCTCATGAGGAACCTGTACATAGACCAGGAGGCTGTCATTTGAACAGAACAAGGGGATACTGCATGGTTTAAAATCAGGAAAAGATCAGGGTTGTATCCTTTCACCATACTTAATCAATCTATATGCTGGGTAAATATAAGAGAAGTCAGATTGTATGAAGATGAATGCGGCATCAGCATCAAAGGAAGACTCATTAACAACCTGCAATATGCAGACAACACAACCCTGCTTACTGAAAATGAAGAAGACCTGAAGTACTTACTGATTAAGATAAAAGATTATAGCCTGCAATATGGGTTACACCTCAACATAAAGAAAACAAAAATCTTCACAACTAGAACAATAATCAACATGTTGAAAAATTGAGAAAAGACTAAAGTTGTCAAGGATTTGCTTGGATTCAAAATCAACATCCATGGAAGCAGCAGTCAAGAAATCAAAGGACATATTGCACTGGACAAATCTGCCGCAAAGACCTCTTTAAAGTGTTTAAAAGCAAAGACTAATGTGTGCCTGATCCAAGCCATGGTATTTTCAACAGCTTCAAATGTATGCGAGAGCATGCAGCCAAGTGCAATGAATAAGGACAACCACAGAAGAACTGATGCTTTTGAATCATGGTTAATGAAAAATATTGAAGGTACCATTGACTGCTGGAAGAACAAACAAATCTGTCTGGGGGAAGTACAACCTAAATGTTCTTTAGCAGTAAGCATGGCCAGACTTCATCTCTCATACTTTGGTCATGTTGTGGGAAGGGACCAGTCCCTGGAGAAGGATATCATGCTAGGTAACATAGAAGGTCAGCAAAAAGGGGAAGACCCTCAATGAGATGGATTGACACAGTGGCTACAATGATGGCCTCAAATATAGCAAGGATTCTGAGGATGGTGCAGGACCAGACAGTGTTTTGTTCTTTTGTACATATGGTGGCTATGAGTTGACAACATGCCAACAATCAACTCGACAGTACCCAACAACAACACTACTTTCACCATACCGAAAGAAAGAAGAAGAATTTACTGGTAGAGAAGATTTACTGGTAGAGAGATGAAGTCTGGCCATTTCTGAACTTGAATTGGTCTGTTGCTTCCCTAAGAAACCCCTTCATCTGTGAGTTCTGTGTTGTTAGAGTTATCCACCTGGGGTATTTCTGTTGGGAGCAGCAGGAAGTAATTTTCTGGGAAGTTCACTCTCTCTCAGGTGTGTAGAACTCTCATGTTGGGATTGGTTGGTTTGGACCACTCTGCCAGGGCTCAAAAAGAGCCCTCCTACAGGCAGAGGGAGTCTCTTTGACTGCTGGCTGGGAAAGATGTGCTGCTGAGAGAAACACGCTCCTGAGAGACGTGAAAGACACACACTGCTGAGAGAGTTTACAAAGACTTATGGCTAGAAAAGCCACACTATGTAATTTAAGACACTGCAACTACCCAGGCAAATTGTGCCAAGGCACTGGATATGTATTTCTTCAACAGTATTATGACAAGATTAAGCTTTTCCCTAAGAGCTCCTTCCAGCTTTATTTTTGCTTTCTTTCAGCTTTCATCATTTTATCACTTTACATAGCCAGAGAAAGGAACAGATTTTCAGAGCAAAACTAAAACCACAATTTAAGGAAACCAAAGACATCATTATACAGATAGAGAGACAGAGACACAGAGAGAGATATATACAAGCCAAACCAAACCCACTGCCATCAAGTCGATCCCAACTCATAGTGACCCTGTAGGTGAGAGTAAAACTGCCCCAGAGGGTTACCCAGGCTGAAAATCTTTACAGAATCAGATTGCAGCATCTTTCTTCTGTTGAGTGGTGCTATAAGTTCAAACCACCAACCTTCTAGTTGGCAGGCAAGTGCTTTAACCACTGCACCACCAGTGCAGTGTGTGTGGGTGGGGGGGATGTGTGTGTGTGTGTGTGTGTGTAGTCAGTCTGCTTCTGTAAAGATTTATATACACTTATAATGTATTCCAGTACTACTTATATTAAGAAGGCTAAAACTGCAACACAAGACATTTAAATTGTTTTCTATAATGCAAACATATATATTATGTGTAGTTTCCTTGAACAAGATCATACACTTATTTTAAGAAAATATGCATATTTTCTCATTTTAACACTTTACAGTTTTACTGTGAAATGAATTTTTAATAAATAAAATATAAAATAATGGATGTAATGTATCATGAATAATTTAAGATGCTGATCATGAAACTACATCTTTCCCTTCCTTCTCTATTGTAGAAGGGGGCCAGCTTTAGGGAGCTGAGTTAACAGATTGTGTCCAGCTATCCGCTTATTCAAAGTCTGCTACCATCAAAGTGTGCACCTCACTGGAACTCATGCCCCTTCCCAAGGCAGCCTGTATCCAGTGGGGGTAACTAGGTAAACTACCTCTTAAATTTATCTTTCCTCTCTACCCATACTGAGTCTTCTCTCGGTAGAGCTACTAAAGTAGCCCCCTAATTGAGCCCCTATTCTTCACAGTGCACCAACACTATCTTCAATGTTATGACTTTTATCTTATCTTCCATAGTTTCTCTTACTGAGAAAAGAATATCCAAATACTTTAGATCTACGTGAAAGGTGGCCCTGGAAATAGAATAATCTGCCTTTCCAATATTATTGCCACCAACACGTATCTCCCTTTCTAAGTCAGCTCTTCCTTCTTCCTACCACCTGACATTTATAAACTATACTGTATTATCTTTAAAATGATTATTTAATAAACCTATAAATAGTTCACTCATAATTGTTTTAGATTACATTATTTATTTCTTTCTAGTGTTCTGAGGTAAACATCTAAGTCAACTCTCCATAAAATAAGAAACGTATGGACTTAGGGGATGGCTTGAACCCTCCCTTCATCATTTATATGCTGGGCAGGATGGCTACATAACAAGAGATCAAACAAAAATCAGTGCTAATTGTGTACTTTCAGGAATGCACAATCTTAAACAAAGGGAACTCTTTCATCTAACTAGAGTATGTTGTGGTTATTGGTGCCAGTGATTTGTTTCCAACTCATGTTGTGTTGTTGTTGTTATGTGCCGTCAAGTCGGCCCCGACTCATAGCGACCCCTCCTTGGGTTTCCGAGGCAGTATCACTACGGAAGTAGGATTGCCCAACCTTCCTTCCGAGGAGTGGCTGGTGGGTTTGAACCGCCAGCCGTCTGGTTAGCAGGCAAGCAACTCACAGTGACCCTATATACAACAAAACAGAACACTGCCCAGTCCTGCACCATCCTCAGTCCTCGCTATGCCTGAGCCCACTGTTGCAGTCACTGTGTCAATCCATCTCATTGAGGGTCTTCCCCTTTTTTGCTGACCCTCTACTTTACCCAGCATGATATTCTTCTTCAGGGACAGTCTCTAATGACAACTTACCAATGTAAGTAAGCTGAAGTCTGGCAATTTTCACTTCTAAGGAGCATTCCGGCCATATCTCTTCTGAGGCAGATTTGTTCAATTTTCTGGCAGTCCAGGGTATTTTTAATATTCTTCACCAACACTACAATTCAAATGCATTCACTCATATTCGGCATTCCCTATTCATTGTCAAGCTTGCACATGCATATAAGGTAACTGAGAATTTCATGGCTTGGGTGAAGAGCACATTAGTCTTCAAAGTGAAATCTTTGCTCTTAATCATTTTAAAGAGGTCTTTTGCAGCAGATTTGTCCAGTGCAATACAGCATCTGATTTTTCTTTTTCTTTTTTTTTATTGTTCCTGAGGTGGAAATTTACAGAGCAGAGCTTGTTTTACATTGAACATTTTGTGTACAATTGTGTACACTCCCCAATTACCATCCGTAACTCTAACCCACTCTCCTCCCCTCCCTTCCCAGTAACACTCCCCACAATTTATCAAGATGTTGCTTATTGGTCCAGTTGTGAGGATTTTTGTTTTATTTATGTTGAAATGTAACCCATACTGAAGGCTGTAGTCTTTGATTTCATCAGTAAGTACTTCAAGTCTTCTTCACTTTCAGCAAGCAAAGTTGTGTCATCTGCACATCATAGGTTGTTAATGAGTCTTCCTCCAATCCTGACGCTACATTCTTCTTCATGTAATCCAGTTTCACTGATTATTTACTCAGCATACAGATTAGTAAATATGGTGAAATGATACAACCTCAACACACATCTTTCCTGATTTCAAACATATTAGAATGTTAGTTTGCTTTAAATAATAATATATAATAAGATAAACTTTTATTTTGGAATCATCTGAGATTTATGTAGATTTGAAATTCTTACAAAATAAAAATGAACTAAAAAATATCACTTCCATTGACTTTATGAAATCCTACATTTTCTGAGATTCTTCTTTATAATCAATTTGTATCATGGTTAGTTTATCAGACAATCTATGAAAGAGAGTAAATAATAGTTGGAAAGGAATAAACATTAATATTAAATGGAGAATGATGCCTGAATATAGATTAATTTTACATGTGGTCAGTGAATATTTTTGCATTAGAATAAATTTTACTTTCTTACACAACTTACACATGTGGAATTGCTCATTTTTTAAAATTGACCCTTTCACTGTCCCTTTTAATGACCGCCATAAACCTAAAATTTAAGTAATATCATTAGCCACACTTACAGATGAGGAAAAGGAAGATTAGGAAAGTTAAATATTATGGTCACAAAGCTACTAAGTGACAAAGCTGGGCTTTGGAGCCAAGTAGTTAAATTCTGGAAACTACACTCTAAATAGTAACAGTATTTGAGTAAAACTAAAATCATCTCACTCTTTTATATTCACAATATACATGCATGCTTACTGATAGTTATAAAGAGTTGGTGAGAATAAAAATTGCCACATTTTTTCCTACCTGTGTCTGCTTCACTGCCCGTTCCACTCGACGTGTGCTTCCTCTCTCAAGTTTTGTCCGGAGGATCAAAGCTGATGTCTGAATGGCCCAGAACTTTGGTTGTGACAGCAAACACTGACAAGAGAGAAGGAAGAAAAGGGGACATAAAAAGAGATAAGTGTCAGGAAACCTCCCCTTCCCAAGCCAGGCAGTGGACATTTAAGTGAGAGTCTGGGCATGAATGGACAAGGAGGGTCCAGGATTCCTTAAGTGTGTGCTTCTCCTGAGGTGTGACAATGAAGGAAGAACTCAGAAATTTTAGCCATCCCCACCTGTATTCTATGTTCTTTGTACTAAGTTATTCTAGCACATTAACAGGGAAAAGTTAACGAAAAATCACTTAAAAAAAAAAAAAAGAAGAAGAAGAAAGATGAATGAGGCAGTCCCACTCTGAACTCTGAACGCTGTTGTTGTTGTTGTTATGTGCAGACGAGTCGGACCCAACTAATAGCAACCCCTCCTTGGGTTTCCGTGGTGGTACCACTACAGAAGTAGATTGCCCAACCTTCCTTCCCATGAGTGGCTGGTGGGTTTGAACCGCCAGCCTTCTGGTTAGCAGTCAAGTGCCTTAGGCACTATGCTACCAGAGCTCCATCTGAACACATCTAAATGCAGATTTGAAGTCTTCTTAATTAATAATGATAAAACATGTATTTTCAAATATTCTCCTGAAAAATGTTTTCATTTAAGTAGAGTCATTACTTAATCTAGATGATCCAATAAATCACTTGCAAAATAAATCACAAAGTTCCGGTAAGATGGCAGAATAGGCAGAAAGACTGCACAGATCCTCTTCAACAAAGAAAAGGGGAACCAATTAACACAGATACAGAAGATAATCCTGGAACCCTGAGCACTGAAGGGAAGGATATAGAAGTGGCCTAAACTCCAACTAGCAGAAGAATTTGCATGAAAACATCAAAAAGGAGCTGCGGTCTGGGAGCGATTCTGAGGGCACAGACAGCTTGGATATTGCCAAGTGGTGGTAGGACCTAAGAATTAACCTAAAAATCAGCCCTGGTAGCCAGGGACTGCAGAGAGGACTGCTCTGGTGGCTGGTGAATAAAAGGGAAAGCAGTGGAGAGGAAGGCGGGCTAAGCTGTGGATTTTTGCCTGTCCAGAGGGTGCAGCCATTTTGAATGCTTACAAGCAATTTGACCATTTTGGATATTTAAACCAACAGCGTTCTCCCAGATTCCAGGGACTTAAAAACAGGCTCCATTTTCCAGGAATCGCAAGGACATTCCAGACGTGGATAGCTAGAAAGGTGCGACATTCCCCTTGTTACTCTTATACCCCATACCTCTTGGTGAATGGAGACGCAGCCATCCCTCACTCCCACACACCTTCTGGGCCAGCAGAAATTCCATCCCACTCTGTGTGATCAGACAGAGCCTGGGTGCCCTGCCCCAATATTTTTTTTTCTTTCTTTTTTCTGTTTCTTAGTTTCTTTTTCTCTATTTTAAAACTACTATTATTATTAACTTTGTTCTTTTTACTATTATTCTTTGTTATTCCTCTCCAAGGTTCTAGTTTTCACCTTTATTTTCTTTTCCCTATTCCTGGTTGCAATTCTTTTTTTCTTTCTCATGGTTAACCCCATTTCTTATGTTTCTTTTTATGTTTTTCCCATTTTTTCTTCATTATTCTCCTTCTCAACCTTTTCTCTCTTACTGCCCTCTCCCTAGATATATAAAACCCTGAAAGAGAAAAATTATCAAACAAAAATTGTATACCCAGCAAAACTGTCCCTCAAATATGATGGTGAAATTAGGAGACTTCCAGATAAGCAGAAACTAAGAGAATTTGTTAAAACCAGACCAACCTTACAAGAGATACTAAAGGGAGTCCTTTGAACAGAGAACCAAAAATAGCAAATAACAACCGACCATTAATACACAAGATGACAGAACCTACAAAACAATACAGCTATGGAGGTACCCAAAGCAAAATTAGCTTACAATATTGTAAACAGGGAATCAGGCACCTCAATTGGCAAAGGAGGACAACTACAAACCAAAAAGAGGGAAAATACTGTGTAGTTACAGAACTTCTAAATGGTGAGGAAGTCAAGAGAGTTGCAAGATAGATGGACTCTCTAAACATGGGGAGAAAATTAAAATTTAAATCACAGAAAAACGATAACCTTCATGTCACAATAAAAAAGAGGACAAGCACAAATATTCAGCAAATACTAAAACAAAAGCAATAAAGAAAATGAAAACATGATCCATAAACATAATGAGCTTAGCACAGAAAATAACACGGAACACGGAACAAAGGGACACCATGAAACAACACATAAAACAAAATGACAACAACCAATACAGACTTACTGTAATTACACTGAACGTTATTGGATTAAATGCACCACTCAAGAGATGGAGAGTTGCAGACTGGATAAGAAAACAAAACCTATCACTATGCTGTCTACAAGAGACACACCTTAGAGACAAAGACAAAAATAGACTAAAAATCAAAGGTTGGAAAAAGATGTATCAAGCAAATGACAACCATAAAAGAGCAGGACTGGCAATATTAGTCTCTGATCAAATTGACTTTAAGACAAAAACCACCATATGAGACAAAGATGGGCATTATACAATGATTAAAGGATTGATTGAGCATGAAGATATAACCAGAATAAATATCTATGGACACAATGAAAGAGTTCCAAAATACATAAATCAGACTTTAAAACAGTTGAAAAGGCAAATAAATGATTCCACAGTCATAATGGGAGACTTTAGTACACTACACCACTTTCAATGAAAGACAGAACAACTGGAAAGAAATTCAACAAAGACACAGAAGAGCTAAACAATACAATCCACAAACTTGACCTTATAGACATCTACAGAGCACTTCACCCAACAACCGCACAGTATACATTCTTTTCCAATGCATATGGAACATTTTCCATGATAGACCATATGTTAGGCCATAAAGCAAGCCTTAATAAATTTAAAAACACTGAAATACTGCAAAATACTGCAAAGCATTTTCTCAGATCATAATGCTATCAAATTAGAAATAACAATAGGAAGATCAACAGGAAAAGAATAAACACACAGAAACTGAACAACACTCTCCTTAAGAAAGACTGGGTAAGAGAAGAAATAAATATTAAAATTAAAAAATTCCTTGAATCAAATGAGAATGAAAACACAACATACCAAAATCTTTGGGACACAGCAAAAGCAGTGATCAGAGGCTTTATAGCAATAAATGCACACATCAAGAAAGAAAAGAGAGCCAAAATCAATACTTTAAACCAACATTCCCAACAATTAGAAAAGGAACAGCAAAAAAGTCACCAAAAAAAGGAAATAAAAAAGATTCAAGCAGAAATCAATGAAACAGAAAATAGAAGGGCAATAGAAAAAATCAACAAGACCAGAAGTTGGTTTTTTGACAAGATCAATGAAGTTGACAAACCATTGGCAAATTTAACAAAGGAAAAGAGGGAGAAATACAAATGACATAAATAAGAAACAAAATGGGTGACGTCACAACAGAACCAACTGAAATAAGAAGGATAATATCAGAATACTATGAAGAACTGTACTCCCACAAATTTGAAAATCTGGAAGAAATGGACAGATTTCTAGAAAAATCACCACTCACCTAAACTAACACAGACTGATGTGGAAAAGTTGAAGAGAGCCATAACAAATGAAGAAACTGAACAGGTCACCAAAAAATTAGGAACAAAATAAAGACCTGGCCCAGACGGTTTCACTGGTCTACCAAACATCCAGAGAAGAACTTTTATCAATCCTACTCAAACTATTCCAAAACACAGAAAAGCATGGAATCCTCCCTAACTCATTTCATGAAGCAAGTATAACCTTGATAATCAAAATTAGGCAAAGACATCACTCTAAAGGAAAACTACAGAGAAATATCCCTCATGAATATACATGCAAAAATCTTCAAAAGAAATCCTAGCCAATAGACTACAAGAACATAACAAGAAAATGATTCATTATGACAAAGTGGGTTCATATCAGGTATGCAAGGATGGTTCAACATTAGAAAAACAATCAGTGTTATTCACCACCACAAATTAAACAAAGGAGAAGAACCACATGATCATTTCAATTGATAAAGAAAAGGCATTTGATAAAATCCAACACCCATTCCTGATCAAAACCCTCAGCAAAATAGGATAGAAGGGACATTCCTCAACATAATAAAAGGCATTTATGCAAAACCAACAGCCAACATTACCCTCAATGGAGAAAGACTGAAACCACTCCTCTTGAGAAAAGGAACCAGACAAGGATGCCCGCTATCACCACTTCTATTCAACATTGTACTGGAAGTCCTAGCCAGGGCCATAAGGAAAGAAAGGGAAATTAAAGGTTACCAGGGGTGGGAGGGGACGGGAGGGAAAACAGATAGGTAGAGATAAGTATTGATTTGGATGAAGAGAAGGGCAATGTCCCAAATGTAAGTGATCAACATGGTGGCATTGAGGAAGAGGAAGACAGAGAGAGGGACAATGGGAGGTACAGACAACAAAGATGAACCCTTTTGCACATACAGTATGCACTGTCAGTGAAGGCAAACAAGGGTATATGGGTGGATAGAAGGGTGGACAGACTGAACTATTAGGTAAGTTTATAAAGCAGGGAGTGTACCAAAGACCATGTATAGGGTTGGCAGACAATGGTCCTATAAGTGTGTTTGTATGATCTGTTAAGAATTCCCAAATATATAGTAGAGCTGACAAGGGACAAGGTTGTAGTCACTTCCTGGTCACAGCCAGCTACCCAGAGAGACCGAGCAGTTGAACCGGTGAGCTCGGGACCATAGTCGCAGGGGACATCAAGCTCAATTGGCATAACACACTACACAAAATGTTGTTCCACCTCCTACTTTGGTGAATTGCGACTGGGATCTTAAAAGCTTGAAAGCTGCCATCTAGATGCAACGATGGGTCTCTCCTCGTCCAGAGCAAAGAACAATGAAAAAAGCTAAAGATTCATGGAAACAATTAGTCCTAGAGATTGGTACACCATCCAATCTGCAGCCTATATGACTATGAAACCAGAAGAACTAGATGGTGC